TATGAAGACAGGACGCTCCACGCGCTCTCTGAGCTCTTCCCTGCATCCGAGTTCCAGCTTGTCTGGGCGGTTGCCCCCACCGTCCACCCGGACCTCGAATCGAAGGCATCCACAACGCCGGCGCTGCTTGCGGCGGGGCAGTCCGTGCGCCTGAACGGCGTGCCGTGGCACCGCAGAAACAACCCCTTGCAACTGTGAGGTTCTTTTTTGCAGAACTTCACGATCTCCACCACTACGCCCCGCAACGGGTTTCCATTTAAGTCAGTCTTTCACTGACAAAACAAATATATTTTTATTTGCATTACCATTTGTAGGAGCTCCTCCTGAAGCCAACAGGGGTCCCGTTGTTTGAGTGCATCATTCACCTGGCCCACCTGAGAGGTAAGGCCAACTTTTGGAACCTTGTTTCAAGCAGTTGGGATGTCTTGTAGTCAGCCACGCGGTTTCCTGCACGATCCTGCAAGATCCTGCAAGTTTTGGGTCTTGTGTGCAGGAGGGGGAGGGCTTGGATGGGGTCACACTGGGGATTTGGCAACCACTGATTCCCCAGACATCCGAGGGCGTCCTAGTGCAGCAGTTGGAGGCATGCGCCCGCGCGGCGCCGCATCATTCGCCGTCGCACACTGAGCCCTGGCACCTTGGTGGAGCTTACGGGTGAGCCACAAGAAAAGAGCGACACTCCCAGCCGCAAATAGGTTCGCCGCCTTTGGGATTCCTTGCCATGGTTTCGGGTAAACTCTTCCAAGAAACAGGTTTTGCTTATGGTTTAGTTGTTCAGTGTGTTCTTGGGGTTTGCCGCCTTATAATTACGGGGATTGCCTTGCCAGGTCCAAAAGTGCAAGCCACTGCAGAGGCACTGCTAGGTTTTTTCCTGTTTGCGTAAAGGGCTTCCGACCCTGCCAAATATGATCACCCTCTCAAAGCGGACTCCTGTTTCAACCGTTTAGGCATTCCCTGACCTCCGCCAATCGCACCAAGCTAAGGGAAACCATGCCTTTCCGTCCGGTTCGACACTTAGGCTTCCTGCCCGCCGCTTTGGGCAATGCTAATCCCTTTTCCAAAAGGGGGTAAATGTTTCTTTTGGGTGGCGTTCAAAGACGACATGTGCGACATGGCCATGGTAGGAAACTCCTCCGCCTGGGGTAGCTGGGGATGGTCACTTAGGAAGCATTTGTAAGCTCCCACACTTCTGGCGCCGAATTCCGAGCCGAGGCATCCACGGATTGCCAAGGGCCACTGCCGAGATTCCATCCTCGCAGTCTTCAAGGAGCTTTGCGGCGTCCAAGGCCGACCCTCAGGTTTTTGGCTGTTTAAAATCCAGGTTTGGGGCTGTAAGTCCATTTGTGTTTGTGTGTGTGTTTTTTGTGCAGGTGTTTTTGAGCTTTGGATTTTATGCTTTTGGTTTAGTGTTTAGGTTTATGCAAGTTTGGATTTGGAGGTAAAGTTGTTGTTTGTTTGTTTGTTTGTTTGTTTGTTTGTTTGTTTGTTTGTTTGTTTGTTTGTTTGTTTGCTTTGTTTTGTTTTGTTTTGTCTAAGACAACTTGTTTTACTCAGTTTTTTAGGTTTCAGGCTTTCAGGGTTTGGGGCAAAAGGTTTTTTTTTTCCGCGTTCAGTCTGAGGGCTTCGGGTTTTTAGGGTTTCGGTGCAGGGGTGTAGGGTTCTGCGAGCGGCCGGAGGTGTCGGCAAGCACTGCACAGTTCCGGCAGACTTGTGCAAGATGGAGGTGCCCTACATACCATGCCTTGCAGAGGGCGACGGGGCGGCGCTCTTCCACCCCAGGCCGGGGTGGGCCACCTCGCTTTTCCAGGATTTTCTCGTTTGAGGCGGGAAGCATTGTGTGAGAGCAGGGAGTAAGGGAAATCCGGTAAGTTAGCTTAGTTTTCAGAGGTGCTGCGGTTGCATGTTGGTTTACTTACCATATTCGGGGTGTCCACAGAGCATGCAGGCATTCAAACACATGGTGTTCAGACATGATTGACCGGGAGAGCAGAGTTCCGAATTTGCGGGTGGGATATTATATCCTGATACCAACTTCCTGTGAAAGGAGTCTTCTTTGTCACCACCGAGGTGGACAATTGTCTTGTGGGCTTCTGTTTTTTTACCACAAGCAAAGGAGCTTGCCCAGCAAACAAGCGCAGGGTGGTTTCACTTGTATGACTAAGGACACCGATCGGTTTAAACGCATGGGCTCAGGGAAAAGCGGTCTCCGGGGTGCTTTCTGCAGTCCCTTGAAACAGGGCTCCTTCCGGGCGCAGCCTAAGCGAAGCGCGCTTAGCGTCAGAGCTAAAGCACAAAGCTTTTGCGCCCCTTTGTGCAAACTGATATAAGGGTGTGGCTCAAAATTTAAGAGCTAGGGTTATGCAGGTTTTGGTCCATGCTTGCACTTACCAGGGTTCCATTTTGGCACCGGGTTTCTTGAGCCACAGCCATAAAGAGTGGCCATGTCCACCGGAGTCTGTTGTGAGTGCGAGTGCTTTTACTTTGCCGGGGCCGTGCCAGGTACGCGGCCCAGCAGTCGGCCCAGTCCCACGGCCTGCTGAGCCCGGCGCTGGGGATCCTTCGGCAGGAGGAGAAAGCCGGGCGGCGGGAAGATCGGCGGGAAGATCGGGCGTGGTCAAGGCCCTGGCGATGTGAGTCAAGCAATTGAACATTTCTGTCTTTGGAAGGAATGGACATGGACCACATCCGACCTTGGACCCATGTGAAAAGCAGCAAGACGAGCCTTTGAAACAGTCAGCAAACAGCGCCTGTGAAATCTTCGCAGCCGCACTGCCAGAGGCAGGTGCCACGTTTGGCATTCATGAAGCTTGCATGTTTGCCAAACCCACATTGAAACGTCGCAAGAAAATAAGACAATGCAAATCAAAATCTAGCAGCTGGGATATATGAAGCGGGCTTTGTCACTGGAGTCACTGGAGTCACTGGAGCACCTGCATCCACCGCTAACCGCATGCGTTGACCATCTTCACTCAGGTGGGCCAGATCGGCGAACTCCTCAACATGTTCGGAAGACCATCCCAGAATGGGTGATGCTGCAAGCACCTCTGTCATGGGCGCCCATTGTCCCAAAGGAACTTGTGCGAGCTTGAGTTCGGGGAAGCAGCTACATGTACATGCAACAAATGAAATGGTCATGTGTACAGTAGCAGTTGACTTGCCGCACTAGTGATGAACTGGTCATAGAGGCCAAAAACACGAACAGTTCCGTAGAGCCGCCATGATGGCACAAATCTCATGAGATGTGTTTTCAATGAACAAGAACGGTACCATCTTCCCCCCCCCCGGAACCCCCCGAACCCCCCCCGAACTCCGATCTTGGTCCCGACGCGTACCTAAACTAGCCATGTGGCCATTGCTTGCCTGTGGGTACTTCCTTGATAGTGGGAGCGGTCTCTCAGTTTCCACCCTTCCCGTGCCAACCACTTGCCAGGAGTCTGTTCGGGCTATCGGCAAGCTGGTGGGCGTGCCTTCGTGGCCCTCAATAAACGCCCTCAAGGCGCTGACTTCAAGGTGTTGTGGGCCCCGGTTTTGTGTCGATAGCTAGGAAAATCCAACTGAAGCCAGTTTGTTGGTTTTTTTGTTGACCCTCAAGCACTTGGATTTGCCAAGCCTGGTGCGTTTCTTGTCGGTTTCCTTCCTAAACCCACCACCAAGACATACCGAACCGGCTTCGACTCCGAGTCAGTTTTACTCGGAGGTATTGAATGCTGCGAGAGATACCCTGTTTGAACCTGTCGGCCGCAGACGTGGATGGAACCCCCGGATTCATGGCGGTCGGAATCAGTCCGGGTTTGGGGTTGACGGAGCATGTGGACAGGTCTTGTCTCGTGTTTCTGGTGGCTGAATCCTAAGCCGAAGCCAAAACTGCTAAAACTTACCCCTAAACAATCAGTCCGAAGAAAAGCTCAACCCTCAAGTCGAAAGCCGTACGTAAAGCCTTGAACTCAAGCCCCAAAACTCCAAACCCCAAACCCAATTAACTTTCAGCCCTGCAGCCGCAAAGCTTATGCCCCAGCGCTAAACTCAAGCATTGCCCCATTCAAGCTTTCTGAACCCTCAATCCCCAAACCCTAAGCCCTCAAAACCTAAATCCTGAACCCCCCCAAGCAAAACCAACCTAAATCTTAAATCCAAAGGACTAGCCCTCCATAGGGTACAGGCGATTCTTTCTCGCGGGGTACAGATGATCCACCCTTCCACAAGCCAAGGGTGGCTGAAGGGTTGTGTTGCCCGGATGTCGGTTGGTCGGGAGTTCCCTGGAGGACCAGGCCTGATGGCTAAGTGCAAGGATATACCAGTGTTGATACGGGCTCCAATTCGTCAGTAGCACTGGTTTCTCCTTTTTGTATCTTGATGGGTTCCCCACTAAGAACCGTCAACCCCCCCAAATGGTTCCCTTTTTCAGCCAGGGTCACTGAACAAGTGGTAGTGTTTGCTGAAGATGCTGACCGGGCGGGTCATCCCAAACGAGCCTCAAGCCAGCCATCAGGCAGCCTAAAGCCTGGGAATACACTTGGCCCGCAAAAAGCTGGCAAAACTGTGCTAAACCAACCAAGCCAATCCAAAGCCAAAGCCAATCCCAAAGCCACTCCGGAAACATGCCATTGAGAAATGCCAGACTTGCCATCCATTTGCCGGAAAGTACGCAACCAGGACTCACAAGCTATCCTGCTGATTGGGCATCCTACACCTACTGAACTCCAACCGCTTGCCAATTCCGAAGCACAGTTGCAGCGCGGGGCTGAAAGCGGGGTTGCCCAAGAAGCGTCTTGTCACCTTCAAATCCGGATTTCAGGCAGTCGAACATGGGGTAAGTAACTCTTCTTCGCTTACATCTACACCTGGCTTGCCGCACACATCGGGCCGAATCCTTTGCGCCTGACTGCAGGTTTTTTTGAACTGAAAGATGGGTATGGGTCAAAATCAAACCACCACGGGACCACAGGCTTTAGTCATTGTTTCCATGTACCAGGGTGCCATTTTGGGGACCCACAGTTTTGACCACAGCCAGATGGCCCCCCCTTACGCGGTGTACCGTGCTTGGAACCCGGAGATGCTTTCGGCCAGGCCTCCATCCCCAGCAGTTCCTTGAAGGTCGCAGTGGCCCTCTGCACAGAGCTGGCGCATGCCCTGGAGCGGCTGGAAGGTGCAGAAAGGCCTTCCGGCCAGCCCCTGCGTCCTGCCAACTCACCATTGCAAGCAACTAGGTGGATGTTTGTTTATTGCGCTGCAATATCTGGATTTGGAATATCTAGGGATGCTGCAGTATCTAGGGTTCTCATTGTACCTGGTGCTGATGAGAAACCTAATGATAGGAGGCTGCTGTCTTGAACCTACTGAATCGGGTTCGGGTCCACACCAAAAGGGTTGATCTTTTGATCAACCACGGTTTAGAGTAATGCTAGTTTGGTTGGTGGGCTTGCCCTGCGTTGCAATGGCTTTGACCATGGATAATTGGCCGTTTTACGCCCATCGGCGCCCCTAGATTCTCCCCATTTAGGCATACACGCCCGCCCACGGTCAGAAGCCTCTAAATGGTAGAGAGGGAACCGCCCAATGTTCACTTTAAGGATCCAACGACTCCATCAGGTGAAACCCCTTCAAGGTGCCTTGGATGTGACCCTGTACCCTCCCACCAGCTAATATGCAAGCGGGGGTGGGGGTCCTGAAAAGGAAAATGGATTGCAGGGGCCCGCAGCCAGGTCTTACACGTGGTTCTTCCCTGTTACAGTTGTGCCCCACTTTGGGGAACATGCAACCTACTGCCAGGGAGCCCTTTAAAAGGACCATGGTCTACCCGGACCCATTTCTTATGCACTCACTTCAGCCACACTCAAAGCCGGGCTCGGTGAAGGTTGGGATAGTTTCAACCCCAAAATCCGGTGCGGATCTCCGCCCCTGGGATTCTTTATGGGTTTGGGTTTTGATTCTCTGCTCATTTGGCCCAGCCGTTCAGCCGTTTGGCCGTGAGAGGCCCAGCCTCGCAGAGCTCCGTGTGCCAACCAGCTCCGAGGACTTTGTGCGGCTACAGGACTCGAGTTGCGCGTCTCCAAAGCTCCAAAAGAACACGGGGCGGACAAAAAGGTTTCCCGGGTCTGCAGTTTTGTGAACAGAACATCACTAGACGTGCGAGAGTTGGATGAGGACAGGACGGAAGACTGGATTTCTTCCGTGGGTGCCATTTGGTTATTGGAACCATGACCATGGCCTAAAGAACACATGACTCCAACAGGTCCAACAGCATTTCCACTTTCACAGGGATACATCAAGCATGCCATGGCGATTCAGATTTAAAATTTTCCCAACTGACATGGCACTACGGCTGGGTGAGACCTTTCATGCCTCCAAGTTGCAGGAACCTACCTTCTGGCCAGCTGGGGAGTATTTGACCTCACATGGTAATTGCTTGACCAGCTGTTCAAACGGATGTTTGGTTGAACCATTGAGAACCTTTGTCAGTTGTGGCGAGCTAACAGCTGTAGTTGAACATCAGCCCAGTCTCCCTTCCATATTACTCAAAGGGCTTGCCGCGACTTGCCCAGGATGTCTACATCAACGACGCGCCCTGGTCGTCCAGCAACAGGATCCAGACCTTGCACGACCTCATCTCACATCCGCACGCCAGGCTGTTGGGTTGTACGTCTGTGCGTGACCAGCTGGCCGAGCAATGCGAGGATGCCCAGGCAGATGACGCCTTTGGGCAGGAATCCAATTTGGTCGATCAGATCAAACGGTTGCTCAACGACTACAGCAGCCGGAGCCTTGCCTCGTTGGCAAGCTTTGAGAATATTCATTTGGGGTGCACGTCCACGACCTCTGTATTTCTGTTAAGCGCCAAACATCTCAATCCGCCAATTCAGCAAGCCAGGAGCGATGTGGTGGCAGAGTTCGTGCAAAACACTGACGAGCTTTAGTGGCATCGTACCGATCTGATCATGTCTTTATACGTTTATGTTTGGTTGTCAGTGGCTTTTAGTTTAGCACTGGTACGGGGATTGTGCAGCTACTTGAGGGACTAAAAGTGAACCAACCATACATTTCGCAACATGGAGCTGGGCACGTGTTTTTTTGTTGGCTAGACCTTTGTAGCAAGTGGGGAAGCTGCAGCAAGTGTTGGAGCCAGAGCAGGCCAGCATTGACATTGTGGCTTACCGGCAATGTTGGGAAGAGGTAACTGCCTGCCATCTCCCGCTTAGACCCACACCTTCCCCTTAAACACACACACACACACACACCCCTTTGGACACGCTCTGGGGTACCAACAGCTCAGGACTTTGGCGCCTCAGAGCTGAAGTTTATGCTGTCCAATGACTTTCATCCGAAGGACGGGTTTGGGGCGAACTGGGCCAAAGCCAGCGCCGGCGCCAGTCTTCTTTTGCCGCCCTGCTTACTTACCCTCCGGTGCTTGCAGGGATGGTCATGCGCACCCAAGAGGGTCTCCTGTAAGGGCTCCCCTTTGGGAACCATGACATGATTGGAGTGGTTTCAAAACCATTGGGGACAAAGTGCCCCCTGCTTGCTTGGACAGAGGCAAGACCGCAGACCACGACACACACTCACACACACACACACATACGCATAAGGATATGAGTCAACTTCAGAATTATCAAAGACCACTTTATCAACGGCGTTTCATTCAAGACTGCTTTTTTGCATTTTCCTTGGAGAACGATAGGTCTGCTTGCAAGCAATGTGGAGCGTTGAGCGGCATGAGCGGCTCACATGACTACCGCAAGGCAGAGAAGGCTATTGTGTGCTTGCTTGGCTCTAATAGCTTATAGCAAAATGTGAAAGTTTTCCGCAACTTGACTCATGCCCAGAACGATACCCCTGTCGATACCCCATCGATACCCCTGCAATGTCCCGGAGTTGCCAATGTGAGGCCTAGTGCATGTGCTTACAAAAAACAAGCACACATCCTTCAGCAGACATCCTTCAGCACACACAGAAAGGGCCCGCAATGGGGAAGAGCGCTTCGTGTTCAAAAGACTACGCATGTGGTTACGATGCCAATGCTGTGTTTGCGTAGAAAGTTTGTTGGGCAAGCACGCAGGATCCCTGCAGAGGGTTCGTCGGGCACTTTTCAACTTCGCATGGCGTCGCAGCGAGGGCGCTTTGACACGCGCAATCCTCGCAGAGGGTTCGTTGGGCACGTTACGAATTCGCACGGCGAGAGCGCTTGGGCACGCAGGATCCCTGCAGAGGGTTCGACGTCACAGCGAGGGCGCTTTGACACGCGCAATCCTCGCAGAGGGTTGGTTGGGCACTTTACGCATTCGCACGGCGTTTAGAGCGAGAGCGCTTCGAGGCGCGCGATCCCCGCAGAGGGTTCATCGTGCACTGCACGCACGCGCGAAACGTGGAGAACGATAGGGGACTCACTAAAAGTAGAATGAATACACCCCACACAGCAAATATTGACGCTGGCTCAAATGTCGCACATTCAAGCAACCGACGAGGATAGCGTTTTCTACAGTGACCCCTAAGGATGATTGTATCAAACCGCTGCGCCGAGCTCAAGCTGAGGATTGCTGCATGCGCGGTGGGCCTTCCCCCTGTGCATCCTTCAGCAGGGTCTTTGCGGGTGGAGGCCTCTTCACTTTCTCTTCTCCCGTGCGGTGCGCCCTTGCTTTTGCTTGCAGGGGAAACTGCTTGTATGAGTGTGCCGCGTGGCGTGCCCCGCTCTGTGCGGCCATGGAGGCCCTCGCGTCGCCGTCGAGGCGCGAGCCGAACCCCGCCTCTCGGAGGGGACTCGCACCGGCGACTCTTGGGAGAGAATCGCCCGACGCATCGCGCCTATCAGCAATTCTTGGCTCCCGGGTGTTTGTTTTGGTTTGGCCTCCACTTCTGGAGGTCATGGCTTCTTGCTATCCTGGTCCTTCATCGGGCTGGTGGCTGCCTTTTGGCAATCCCCGGCGGGTCTCTCCTTGTGCGTGTTAAGAGACAACCTCTTCACACAGAGGAAGGCTTTAGGGAGGTTTGGGGCGGAAGTTCCGGGTACTTTGACTGCAACAACTTTTCATTTGAAGCAGGGCCTTGCCTTTGAAGGTTCTGGCATGCGGCGTGCGCAGATGCCACATCGCCTGAGACATTTCAGACACCGGTGCCAAAGGGAAGCGCGTGAATGCTTGATACCGAAGGATGAACATGTGCACATGGCATGCCAGAACCTTGAAAGGTAGAGCAGTCAGGCAGGCTCTGCTTGAAATGCAAAAGTCCTCAGTCAAAGTCGCGCCGGGAGGGAAACTTAAGGGCGGGCAGCTTGAGCAAGGTGCAGCAGTTCGATACATCGCCTGAGACATTGCCGACACAGGTGCAAAACGCTTTTAGCTGCGCCTTTTGCGTTTCCTTCCCATACGGTATGTGGGGCGAGGGGGTGTTTGTGGGCAAGGTATCTGCGGCACAACAACGATAGGGTTCCTCTGGCCCGCGCGGTCTTTCGGACTGCCGGGCAAAGTCTTGCAAGTTACAAGCAGACTGAGTCACGCGCGGCGCGTGGCTTTTTTTTCCTCGCGGCGTCAGGACCAGGTGGTGGACAAGCGGTGCGAAGACCTTCAGGGCCCGGCCTTGTACATTTGCTCGAACAAGCCCTTGGCGGAGGAGGACCCGGAAAGCCATGGGGGGGGGGGGGGGCGGGCAGTGGGTTGTGGTTCCTAGGCATTGTCAGGTGAGGTTTGGGGTTGGTTTGCTGCTTGGATGCGTGCGCGCGCGGGTGTGTGTGTGTGTGTTCACTGGTTGATGCCAGTTTGTTGTTGCACTTGTTGGCTTGTTGCTGTTGGTTTTGTTGGAGGACTCCAGAATATGAAATTGAGAACCCCAGTTGCACGCCGCTGTCAGATGAGTTGGATTTTGAAGGAAGACACAAATCCGTGTTCCAGCTGCCCCGTCAATGGGTCTGTCCAATATTGCCAACGATAAACCCGGGTATTTCAAACAAGCATTGTGAGCACTTGTTACAATTCAACAAAGCGATCATCTTTACACAGTATCACGGCTTTAGGCAGATGACTTGATTTCCGAGTAATGACTCAAACAGAATGGATAGTGGAACAGTGCGATTGCCAATTTTATCTCACCGGCAACTGCTATCAGTGCATGTTTGGTAGAACAAGCCTCTCTTTTTCGACTTGTTCTTGGCCGTTTGATCGCAGAATGACTGTTGGTTTTCGGTTCCCGTGCAACTTGCAGTGTACCGTTTTGAAGTGTGGGCTTTGACTTGGCCAAGATGGCAGGATAAGATGCAATACCAATCTCAAACGTCTTGGCCAGCCGTATTGGCGAGAAATTCTTGAAAAGGGCTCTTCAATACATTGGAGAAGGTGTTCAACGTATTTCCTAGACGGGCGCCTCCCTTTCCAACTTCGGATAGGGATCCTTCTCCAGTCCTTCTGAGGACATCGCGCGGATGCAGAAGGTTGGCGGTTCCGCCAAGCAGAATGATTTTGCTTCCACTGGACGCTTCGGGGTGGGCCTGAACGTCATGTACAGGTGCCTAATTTTTGTCCAGCAGCACGCTTTGGTGAAGCGATGATGTAGCACAACGATTCCGACATTTCCCGCTCGAACACCCTGAAAAGGAAACAACACGACCCAGGTCAAAGGTTGATCAAACCACCCAAATGGGGAACTGTGGCAACCGACTAGTGAAAGCCAAGCATAGCTCTAAGGGAAACAAGGGCAGACATGCGCAATTTGCTTAGCAATGCTTGGGCCTTTGGTTGACCAAAGTTACTCCCTTCCCCCTTTACAATAGTAACCGAGGGGACATGAATCTTCCAGCACTCGCGTTTTGAGTCGAGCGGGTCGAGTCAGGTACAGCGATTGCCCGCAATTGTGCGCCAACGGGTATCTGCACTTCTTCGACGTGTCGCGGAGCTTCGTAGCCCGTGAGGGGCAGCGACGGGGTAAGAAGTTTGACCTCACAAAGCTGCACCTTGGGGCGAAGTGGATCCAAGGATGCATGGCTGGTCGATGTGACAAACCCACAACCTGCTGGTTCTGATGTTTAATCCTTGAAGGGGCCCTGTGATGGGAAGGATGTCAGAGATGATAGCGGTTCTATTGCATTTTATTGGTGTGGGATGTATATTGAACCTTGTCATGTGCTCAAGGCGGTTTTATTTCAGCTACCAACCACAGCTGGTTTCCCATTTCAGTCCAGAAACATGAGGCTATGGGCTATGGGTCCAAACAAGTTGCATTTTCATTTGCTTGGCCTTTGATCTTCAGACCTGTGGCACACCTGAGGCAGAATACCTTCCCTGACAGCTTTGCTCCGTTCCAGGCGTTTCTCAATTGTCCTAGGCTGACCACTTTTGCTTGTTGTGTTTTGATGGGTTGAAGTGAAGATCCGCCCCTCCCCCCCAAAAAAAAGAAGAAGAAGCAAGAAGCGCCTCTTTCGGTTCTGGTTCTTTGGTTGCAAGTGAGGCTTTGCTCGGAGTATCCGGTGGTGTTCCGGCTTCCTCTCCGGACAGAGCGCTCCGAACTTGGCGAAGCAACGACGCCCGAAGCCGTAGAAGGCGACTTGCAAGAAGTCTCAGCAGAGGCCGGGGGTGACTGCGCAAATGTAAACCACTGCTGATTCTTTGCAGGGTCTTCAACAACGCCTTCCGGACCGCTGGGAATCGGTTGCTTGAGCTTTTTCTTTTTGTGAAGCTTAGCAGATTTGAAACATAGTTACTTGTTTAAACCACCCAAAGGGCGGCTTGGTACTTTTCCACAAATGTGCACTAGGGGCAAAAAAATCAAAGGACAGTTGGAGCACCCTTGGCAGTTGGCATGGGGAGCTGGGCATGGTTTTGAGCACGGGCCTGCGCCCCGCAGCCATTTGGTTTTGGCAACGAGTTCGAGGGCTTCTTGGTCTTGACCGTCTTGATCAGGCGCGGGTGGTTGGGCAGTGACCTTGTCGTTGTGCCATCATTGATTGGAAGGACAACGATTGCATAGGGTGGCGTTTAGCTCTTGGCGCAGCAGCAGCATTGCTTATTTCTCGTCCGTCATCGCCATTTTGGGCTCAGATCTGAGAGCTGAGTCAGCAGAGCAAAGCAACAGAAGGGCAGCAAAGCAACAGAGCAAGCAGCTTTCGGCGGGCGCAATGTTCGTGACCTTGGGAGCTGATGCTCATGCGGACAACTCTGCCTTCATGACCGTGGAGATCGCTGCGGGCTTTAAGGTGGTCCCGTAGCGTCCTCAAACTGTTGGAGTGTCAGTAGTCTTGGACCTTGGGGGCTCGAGCGAGCTAGGTTTGCGGTTTTGGGTTGCATCGAGATTTGAGCTGTCACCTGTGACAATGACTGACAAAGGTCCGGTGAAGGCTATGTGGCCAACATTGTGGTGGTTTCGGAGAGAGACGACTTGGCAAGGGCGCACAGCTTTTTGGCAGGACATCACTGGTTGTTCCTAGGCTTGACCTGGCTTGCCCTTAGCTTTTTATGTGAAAGGTTCTTTGAGGCGCTCGCTTGCGTCCACAGCAGGACTTTGGCAGTCTGCCTACATGCAGTTCAAGAACAAGGAGTTGCATCGGGTCTACACCGATGTATCTGACCCGCCTCCCTTCAACGAAGGGGAGGAGCGGCGCGGAATACTTCATGTCATGGCACACCACTCATGACTGTCATGACTCGCACATGAAATAACGATGCGCCAGATCGTGCGTCGCTTCAACCGTGCGGTCTCGGAGGGGGCGGACGCCGCTTGCTCAAGATTGATGCGACGTGGTTACGTTGTTAGTTTGAGTTGAGTTGGTTGTTTATCTAAGTTTTCAGGTGCCATTCATCGTCAGCCAGATTGGGCGCTGCCTGTACCAGGAGCTTGTTGCTGAATCTGCCACACGCCCACATGCCACGCGACGCGACACATGACATGTGCCATGTGCAATTTCCCTGCCAGGTGCAGACGACGCACAGCTCGGATGATGTGATGCTGCTGGGAGGGGAAGATGGCCAAACTCTGATGACGAAGAGTGAAGGGCTGTATTTTCGCCCACTGGCGGGTGCAATGGGCCCACCGGGGCCAGTAATCACGTGGCCTGAGGCCAATCGCTTGGAACGCCGCCGCCGTTGAGTTTGACTTTGACTCAGCTGGCAGCCAGCAGCTGGGGGGCTAGGGCCATTTTCCATTTCAATTGCTGCCAAATAATGCAGCTCAGTTGTTCACTGGACACTAAGAGAGTTAGTCTCGATAAGCTTGACACTTGAGACTTGAGTTTTCGCCTGACTGTTGGCTGCCTGGGTTTTTAGACTTTGCTGTCACTGTGCCTTAGTGCAGCATGGCAATGGTGCCCAGCTCGAGATCGAAAAAGGGGCCGGCGACATTGGACAGCATTGTCATCAGAAAACGTTGCAGCAAAAACGTTGCTTTGCATTGCCTGCCTGCAACCTTGAGTGGTTAGTGGACCGTCGATTACTCGCTTTTCCGGCAGGCGCGGCCCTGGCCGCACTGCGGCTGCACGGCCTTGCTGCTGTTGCAGCCAGGCCACGGCCACGCACGGGGGTGGGAGCTTTGGATGGCTTAGGCTTAAGGCATGGCTGAGCCTGACGCGGCTGAGGCTGTGAGATGTTTAGCTTAGCAAGGGGTGTTTGAGGGTCTGAGGGGCGAAGGCAAAAGGCATAAGGCTACAGGATACAGAGGATGTCAGAAACTCTCCAGAGACCCAGGCCCAGGTTCAGAGTCTGCCCGGAGTGCTCTTGCCTTTGACTCCTTCCCGACCGGCCCAACCATCCCAACCTTTTGACAGGCTTTCTTCTCCAGCTCGTCCGTCCGGCCCTGTGCTCAGAGTTTTGCTGGCTGACTAGAATGAAGGAGCCTTCCTTTCCCTGACTACTCATTACGGTCCATTGGCAACTGGTTGGACCCTGGTGGGAAGCATAAACAGCCCCAAGGCTTGAGCGGTCTAGTCACGTAGTTGTGTCTGTCACGGGTGACGGATCACGGGTCTCGGGTCGCGGGTCATTTCATGAGTCATGTCATGTCATGAACATGATTCACGTCATGAGTGCGCCTCCGGGTCTGGTCCGCTTGTCTGTCAGGCGGCGTCGGCGCCGCAGGGCCGCAGGGCAACGCGTTTTGAGGCGAGGGCGGAGGTCGTTGTTGCCAGGGTGGAGGTTTGAGGTGACCCGACCCGACATGAATGTTGAGGGCGCATTTTTTCATGGTGTGTCGCAGTGTCGTTGAGCAAATGTTCTTGTTTCAGGGCTCATTGTCAGTGTCAGTGACGTTTATTCAGCGCTTTTTGAGCATTTGGGTTTGTGTTATTTTGATCCACTTATATACTTCTGGAGGCTTTGGGGGCAGAACCTGAGCCAGATGAGTATGTTGTCAATTGGCGTGCTGAAGGAAGGGCTGTTTGTTTTTTTGAATCATTGGCATCAGATCATCATCAGCTAACAGCAACAGTTGAACACGTCCGGCCCACTCCCATGTTTAGCATCCGTGATGATTGATGACAGTTAGAAAATCCCGCAATTTTGAGGACCGAGACACCGAGAGGTAAATAGTCAACACTTGGGATCACACACGCTTACTACTTTCTCTATCAAAGTGACAACCCTGCCCATTTTTTTGAGGGTAATGGACGCATTTGCGCGTGAAGTAGCTCTTGACTCTTGACGAGCCATTTGATGCCAGGGTGGCAGTGCAATAGCGCGCGCTGCACAGTGCGAACGTACAGACGTCCGCCAAACAACACATGTGCCAATTGCCGGAGCGCCTGGCGTGGGCACAACCATGTGCGGCCTCAGCAGCGCTTTAGGGGGAAAATGTCTGCTGATGGAAAGGGCATGCCTCGGACTCGGACCAAAGCCGCTGCCGGCGCTGTGGTTGAGGCTGTTGAGGAAGATGCGCCTCGTGAGTCTGTCGTTGAGGCCGTTGAGGCGGGAGATGCACCTCGTGACCGTGAGCCTCATGACGCAGACGCAGGTGAGGCATGTGACATGGAGGCGCTGCCTTCAGAAGATGCCCTCACCCGTGGCTTGCGCAAGTTGCACCCCTTGCTCACGCAGTTGTGTGGAGCTTCGCAAGCTCACAGTATTCTGGCAAGTGCTTTGTCTGTGGTTGATCGCTACAAGCGTGCTGGGCAGAAGGTTCCAAACTTCCCATCTGCCTTACTGTCGTGCTCCATGGCGATGTCTGGAATTGAGGATGTTGATGAGGTCCGCAGGAACTTCCTTCAGAAGCTGGTGGATTGCAAGCTCATGACAGTGCAGAGAATGCGAGAGGAGGAGTCTTTAATTATCATGACGCTGCCCTTTGAAGCAGCCACTGGCTTGTGACCTGGGGTGCATTGTGCATTAAATTCAGGAAAGGCTCACATTGACACATTGGACCCTTCAAGACTTTGATCGCTTCTCAGAACTCAGCAGCTGCCATATGACAGATCACGCTAGCAGGCGAGCGGCAAGCGGAAGATGGGGTTGCAAGGGCTTTCCTTGTAGGGTGCTGGTAGTAACAAGCCAAATCTGCGGATTTGCATTTTTGCAAGGGGAAAAAGTTGCCGGCGTTGGTCGCGGTTTGGCCATGACCGTGCCGTGCGTTGATGCCAAGCCAGATTTCATTTGTTCTGTGTCCTGCATGCAGGCTCCGCCTCTGCAAGCAGCCCAGACTTGAGGCTGGACCTGATGAGAGGGCGTTCCCCCCTATTCGTAGATTGTTTTCCCAGACCCAGACCTGAAATCTCCGATTCCAAATTACACCCCGCAGCAGCAGCAAATACTGAACCGATTCTGAGGCTGAGGGAGCAAATTTCCCCCAGACCCCAACTCCAGTCTCGTCTCATCCGTCTTTTTTATAGCTTTCTTGGAATCTTGGAACCAATGCTGCTGCAGCAGAGTGCGCCGATACTAAACCCTGCACCAATTTCAAACTTTCAACGCAAATCCAAAGCATGTCCGGGATCCCAAGCTGCAACAGCCTTGCAAACAGCACACTCCGTGCTTGGTTTGGCTTAGAAGACTTGCAAGTAAACCAATCTGGACACTGACATGACCTCATTGTAAGGGGCGCACGCGCCAGATCGCACCCCAGATCGCACCTTCAGGGTGAGATCTCACACCCCAGATCGCACCTTCAGGGTGCGATCTCACACCCCAGATCGCACCTTGAAGGTGCGATCTGATTTCCAACTGGGGTGCGGGTTCGACCTGTCCAGGTGTGACCTGTCCAGCCGGGGTGCTCAGGCCTGCTCTCGTCGTCGGCTGCTGGTGGACCTTTGACAGTCACATGTGTCATGTGTGTGGCATGTGGCGGGTTTTATTTGTGTGTGCTGTGGCTGTGAGAGTGTGCGCTGGTTTTTAGTAGGGGTCACTTCGAAGTTCACATTGCGCCCTAAAAGTATTGTCATGACACTGCTTGCTTGAACTTGAACTTGGCCCTGCAAAGAGCCTTCAAAGGGCAGCGGCTTGGGAAACCCTCCTCATATATATTATATATTATATTAGCCATTAGCCTCATAAGTAGTTGACATTGACATTAGTCCTTTGGGTTGTCATTTGAACGCACGGTTCATTTGCCTGAGGCCGTGGTGTCCAGGACTCACCGGATCACAGCACG